AATATAATAAACAAAATAGTCTCTTCAAAAGGTACGATCGTGAAAAAAAAAATAAGTAGAATAAATTAATTTTATTTACTTTCAGATAAATTATACAATCAAGGCAATAAAAAATGTTATTAGGATAAAATATATTTTTTTAATCACAAGAACTATTAGAGAACAAATTCCAGTTTAAAAATTGGAAGGTATTAAACAATATTACAATATTTGTTTCAGTTTGTTTTAGTAAAGTGATAGAAATACCCTCTGACAAAAGAGTATCGCATTTTTAGTTACAGTTTTCACGTGTCTTATTTCAGTTGCGCTTTGTTGCTGCTTAGCAGCTTAAACTTTATAAAGGTGCGTTTACACGAAAACAAGAAGTCACTTTAAAAAAATTAAGATTACGTTTTACTTTTTGTCTACAAATACTAGACCAATTTACTTTCGTACTTTATAAATACATTTCCCAGCTGAAGATTGGTTTTTAGCGTTTTTTAGAGTTTTAAATTCTTGAAACAGATGTTTTTTGACATGAGAGAGAAATAAATAAAGGGAGATGTAACAGATCAGTTTTTGACAGAGGAATGTCACATTTGGTACATGAGACTAAATTAAGAGGCGTTTTCGGAAATCTATTACTAAATTTACCCGATGGATCACGTGGTAGGAATGTGCACGAGCTTGATCGAGCAAGCTCGCTTCTTGCTTGTATTGCTCGAGCGGAGCTCCGAACAGTACGACCAGTCCGATGCCCGAGCGGCTCCTGTATAATATTTGGCTCGAGCGCCTCGCGTATCGGCTCGGCTCGAGCCTCGAACGATCCGAGTGTTCCGTACTCCGAATCATTCGAACTCTCGGTAATGAACTTATCATCGAGTAATTTTTCCATACCTAGTTGCATATTATTTAATAAAATTAATAAAACCTCGATCGTCCCTTAGTGTGACTCTGTAAAAGCAGCCTCGTCAGAGAGATCACGTGTACAAGGTGTGATAATGTTTTCGAGCACTCCATTGCTTAGATGGACCAAGTTTATGACTGGTTACTTATTCGAAATAATTTTCATTTATTCGAATGAAAAAATCCTATATACTTACTGTAAACGTAAATGAAGTCAAAAACTTATTCTTATCACACTTATATTACGGGGACCGAAACACATTAATCACTTTTCACCACTAAATTTAATGTTAAATGATTCATTCAGAGTACGGAACGCTCGGATCATAAGAGACTCGAGCCGCTAAAACCGCTCGAGCCGTACCGGTACGCGAGGCGCTCGTATTGTTCGGAGCTACGTTGTAGCGTGCTCGATCTGCAATTTTTCGAGCTTGATCGCGAGCGCTCGAACTTTACAAGCTCGTGCACATCCCTATCACGTGGATAACTGAACTTAAGTGCCGACCTTAGAACATATATAGTCAGGAAGGAGCATGCCATGTCCGCGTTAATCTAATCGATCTGACGGAAGTGGTAGCCATGTTGTACTATGGATGACTCATCATCATATGATAAATGGTTCCTAAAATTGGTTTATAATTTTAGTGATTAAAATATGTTAATAATTTGGTTGTTTTATGTGTTAATTTAAACTTTTATCGAGCGTATATTTTGTAGACATTTTTAAAAAGTGTTTAGTGTTTTAGTATTTATTTAGTATTACTGTTAATTTTAAATTTTCCGCGTTAAAAGACAAACGAGACAATATGGTCAGTTGTTCGTCTTGTGGATATAGCAGCACAGCTAAAAGTAGAAAGGAATAATCTACATTTCATAAGCAAGTATTTTGTTCTCTCAATTTTCAACCACATTAAAGATTTTTAAAATTTAATGTTTTAAATTTGTAAACAAACATGCTAAGTGCGTCTGCGATCAACTGTGCTCATAGGCGTAGTCTTATGGTTTATAGGGTATACATACTTTTATTTAAACAATTTTTTTAAGCAATATTAAGATATTTATGTGGTTGATAAAATGAATAAATTATTGTTTAATTTAGATTTATAAATTGATTGCAAGTAAACAATTTTTAGATTTCTTAAAGATTCTAGATTTATAAATTATATAAATTAATCCCAGGTACACAATTTTCAGATTTCCTAAAGATGTTCAAAAAACAAAGTTATGGCTTGAGTTCATGCAACAAACAAATTGTGAGCCAAAATATCTTATTTTTTTCTGTTCACGCCATTTTAAAGCAGATTGTTTTGATCGAACCTCAAAACCAAGAATAAAACTTACCAACAGCTGTTCCAACAATAAAAGTAGTCTGGTTGAAGTATATAAGTAAATAAATTGTTTACTGACTATATCATGTGCCGTTTTTTTAATATAATAGAAGTTTATTGTATGAATGTGATGCACCCTATATAATTTACAATTACAAAGTTATTTCCAAAAACGAACACAAATAGAATTAATAATATCTCAAGTAAGGATGCATGCCTCAAGATACTGTCTGAGGTCCTATCTTGTTTAATTTTATTTTAAATAATTTGTCGTTTAAATACAGATGGAAATATTGTAAGTTTTTCAGACGACACAGTTATTCTGTAAAATGCAGAGAACTGGAATTGATTAAACTTATTAATAGAAACAGATATTATAAAAATTTTCGAATGGTTTAATTATAAAATCTTACAAATGTTTGATAAAACTTCCATTATACAGTTACAAAAAGATGGCCTCTTCCTATAGAAATAATAAAAGGTAACGTTCAGTAGTTTCATATAAGTATTACAAATGATATCAAATACCTAAGAGTACAAATTGACTCTCATCATAATTGGACTAAGCATACAAATAATGCGTTGAATGTACATTTAAAAATAATCTATTTTGCACTCATAGAATCATTATTACGTTACAGGATCCTTTCTTGGAAAGGTGTTTTACCTGCTTATGTTAAATTGTCATGTAAAATTGTCCTGCAAAAAAATATTACTAATAATATTATGTAATAAAATGATCAGAAATTCTCTTGGATATTAGGAAGTTTTATATGTACTCCAACAAAAACAACTAAGAAAGAAATATCACAGCGGTGTTTGACCTATAAACATATTTATTTTTCAAACCATAATAATTTGTAAAATGTAGATAAATTAATAAAGACATTGTCATAATAAAGACGTAAAAAAGACAATATTTTTTTTTTAATACATTATTGATTTGATTTTTCAAATGAAATCCCTCTACAAATTATCCCAACTATATTTTCCTATATTTATCCCACCCAATATGCAATTTTAAAGTAAAATTGATTCACATAATGAAGGTTAATAAAAAAAAATGCAAACTTCGCGCAAGAAAATAGCAATTCGTTAAAATGAGAGAAATCAGTAAATTTAGATAATATTATTATACAAATGAGAATTCTACGCCCCCTCATGACAGTACGTCACTGGTAGACCGGAAACACTTGTCGCCATATTCGTCTAGTTCACTGTCAAAATTAGATACCATCGCGATTCCAAGATCGTATAGGATTCCTTCTTCCTGACTATATATATTCTAAGGTGCCGACAGTTTACGAACGAGTTGGATTATTAAACCTGTTCATCTACGTCTGTTAATATTTTACTTTTTTCCTTATTTGTTAAAGAACAATTTTAATTAAACATATTATTTGTAGTCTGACTTTTTAAAGTCTTACAAGTTATAAACTAATTGAATGTAGAAAAAATTTCAAAGCTACTACTGGCAGACACCAAACACCAAAAAATTGCGTTATTTATAAAATCCCGCGGATCTATCACTAATCTACTCGTAGATAGGGTCACAAAAGATTGATCTCGATCACAAAGCTGGATCAGTAACCTACTGGTTTCCGAACATGAATAGGGTTAGTAACCATAGGTAAACGAACAATAGAACCCATAATCTTTCTGATCCAAGTAAGTTTCCGAAAACGCTTAAGGTTATCAACTAGACCCAGGATCCTTTGGTGAGAATTTACGACATAGTTAATTGGATTAAGTTCAAGAAGACACATTGTGTCTATAATAGCTGCAGCAGACGCAGGTTATATATTAGTAGGTTCAACGATGTCGCATTCGAGACTATACATTCAACAAGTGGAAGATTAGAATCCCCACAAATGATGAACATATGGTTTTTTATATTTATTTCGAAATGATTTCATACCCTGCTAAAACAAAATAGCAATTCCATTTTAGTAAATTTATATTTAATAAAAGAGAAATTTTACGAGTTAAAAAGTAAAATTTGAATAGCAATTAGCAAAGTGAAAATGAAAAAATTATAATCTGCACAGATAACGATATTATTTTATGAAACACAAGTATTTTGCACTTGTAAATTTGCAAGTACAAAGTGGAAAGTTGCAAAGTAGTTTTATGAAATATAATAATAATAATAATACTACTTTCCCTAATCCACCCCCTTACGAGTGAATTTTAACCGCAAAAACTGAGCTTGTGCGGGGAAAGGGACGGCCATTACTATTATTATTTGCCGTGGCACTCCGGGGCGACTTAAAGATGATTAATGGTGTCATTTAACTTACAGGTGAGGAAAACCCGGAAAACCTCACCCACCATCATCAGCTCCTGCTGTATTTGTATTTGTATATTTTTTATGAAAGCAACAGCAGAAAACAGTACTAAGACGCGCAGTAGAGGAAAAAGCTCGAATTATTTTCTAAATAATTGTAATTGAACTTTATTAAGAAAATTATTCATACCTAAAGGAGGTTTCCATATCAGTAAATATGTGCAAGTGTGTAAATATTGTTATCGTAGGAAATTAATACTATTTCTTACTCGTTAAATATTAAACTACTTCATTTATTTACAGACGCTTGGTAGAATACAATTCGTTTTTAAAGAAAATTATTTTCATAATACAGTTTTTTCCTTTGATATTTCACACGATCTGGCAATACTGCCGCGCTAGTCCTGCTCGCGCGTGCACGCTCGAGAACGCCTTCTTTGATCCTGCTCTCAATTTGGTCCAGATACTGATTAGGGGAGGCTGGAACGGTGAAGTCTAAAGGGGTGTGTAACTTTTAACATTTTTTTTTTCGTTTGTACTACTCAAAATTATAAACATTAAAAAACGATTTTTTTCCGGCGTGATTTTTTTTTAATTATAAAACTACTGTATTTTGTGCGCGAGTTATAGTCGTTCGTGTTGGCTGATTTTTATTCAAACTAAAACTTCAGTTAAGAAGTAGTTTTTTGAGAATGAGTAGATTCGAAGTTTTGGTTAGAGGGCGACACATTTTTTGTGCGGTTGATTTCGTACGGACTTGTTACTGAAATATTTTGGGTAAGATGTCCTGGGAGTCTCTAAACTCGCATCATGAGTATGTAAGGTATGTAGTAGGTTTTAATGCCAAAAAATAAACATTAACTAGTTAATTTATTGAAAATTACTATTATTAGATACGCAAATAGTTCAATATAATTAATTTAATATAGCATATTTAATAAATAATATTAATATTTACATCTAAGTATTTCGTGTATTCATTACAAATAAATATATTTAAAATTTCGTTGTTAATTTAAAAATTTATTTCAATAAATATTTTCTGTTAGATGATATACAGTGTCTGATGAAAAAAATATAGAATTAAATTTTCTTGATTTGTATCTGACAACAATTGCAGTGTGATGACCTGACCCAGTTTAAAAATTACCTCGTAGCTAACCAGCACTGACAAAATATTAACCAGTAATTTTATATATTCGTCGATATCGATATAATCCAGTTTTTTGAGTTCCCTATCGAATAATAATAATTTTTCGGCACGTGAGGCGCCTGATTGATGGATTGCCCATTAAGAATGACAACAGGTTTCGACAATAAATTGGAACACGAGGGTTGTTTCCTATAAAGCACCCCTGACCTATTTACAGGGTATCTCCAAAAGGTTGGGACATAGCTTAGCTATAGACTCCTTAATAATAAAATCATTTAACCCAACTTACCTATATTCAAAATCGTCTTTTTAAGTCCGTATAAGGTGTGAACTTTTCTCGCATAAAAATGGTAGGCTCTGATCGATTTGTATAATTTTTGGTAAGACATGTTCTGTAATTATAAGTCACGTTTTGGTATGGTTTCGGTCATCATCAGTAAGTTGTAAGTCTATTAAATAAAAATCTCGCAACACCAATCTAGTTGACAACGTCGGTCACCAACATGTGATTCTTTAATATCAGCCGGTGTTAGCCAATGCTCGCCGAACACAAATCGTCTAATAAATGAGAGCGTCGGGCAATCGTAGAGGATATGCTGACAGGTCTATGCTATGAAGATGCTTCCGTGCTTGGCAACGACCACTCAGAATGTCCGTGATCAGGTGCAGATTCTGTCTAGTCATAGACAAGCATTTTTAAATTAAACACACTGTAACTTTTTAAGTGTGCAATTTTCTACCTAGGTTCAATCGACCTATTTTTTACCCAAGAATATGTAGTATAATTTATGACCAATCATTTTGATACATTGTATATACTAATACAAAATTCCGAATCAATTAAAATACATACGATACAACTATGAATAAATAAAGCCTGACTTATCTGTTAAAAGAAAAGGTTTATTACAGTAAAAACCATGGAAACATGATTAAATCTAAACGAAAACTTTTATTAGGTCCATCAAATGTTTAAAATTTTAATTTTAACTATAAATAAGCATTGAAGGATGAGGTATAAATAAAATGTCTACCTCTTGAACCTGTACTACGTTGGTCGTTCTTCATTTGCCAAAGCACCTTATGATTCTGGTAGTCAATTGTCTTTTATCATATCGGACAAAAAATTAAAATTGTCATTTCTTTAAATTCATTAATTTTTGTCCGATATTTTGAATTTCCCTGTAGGTATTAAAGGTTTTTTGGCACCATTTTAATGAGCATAAAACTGCCCAATTTTTGTTTAATTTAACTGTCACGGTTTTCGCGAAAAATCTATTTTAAAAAATATATAACACAAAATGCCAATGCGGGAGATTTTAAAAATTTGGTATTAAACTTCTTTTCTAGTCACCTAACAATTCATGATTTACAATCGCGTGAAAATTTTTCTCCGAAAACAACCCTTTTCTTTCCTCTATTTTTCGCGTACCTACTATAACATTCGCGGGACCCATTTTGGGCTTACCATTGTCATATCGAAGCCACCGTCCTCGACATTTTATCGAATAAAATGGAGCCACAATAAATCATACGCTTGACACACTCTGTAACTGTCTAAAGAGTCCTTTAACGGTCATGTATGCATGCCAAAGAAAAACACTTATTGTTTTTCCTCATATTCTTTAGAATAACATCTATAGAAAGCTAAACACACATTCGCAAAAACCCTCACCTAATTTTGACGTTTCATATTGACAATGGGTCAGCTTTAAAAATGCCAGTAACAAATGTTTTAACTTTTAAACTATAGTTCAGCGAAAAAATCGAAATATTTTTATTCGAAACAACAAGCTATATACATCTACGGTGATATGTATATGTAAATGAGGGAATGTTTTCGTATTTGGGTCAAACTGATGCAAAACTACATTATATGCAAGATAACGTGGTGGCTAGGACGTCCACATTTTGGAATAAATGTGTAGTTATTTTAATATAGTACATGAAGCGAATATTATTTTAGGACGGGAAAATGTAAATTATGACGAGCATTTTTATCAAGGGTAATGCCACGAGTCCTTCAAATTGTATCAATTAAATTTTTTTGGTAAAACCAAGAAATCAAACCGATTGATAAAATATCGAGTCCGCAGGTCGAGTGATTTTATCTGTAATAAAGTCTTTTGAGTATGAAAACTCAAAATTTATTAGATAAAATTTAAAAGGGCGAGAGGTATTTGAAAAGATTATTTTTTATATGATTTTGTATGAAAAAGGCACAAACATATTTGGAAGTGTTTATTAATCTTATAATTATTTGTTTATTTCATAGTCTAAAAAAATAATAAATACCGCAACACCATATCACTGGAAGAAAAGGAATGACAGACGCATGCGCGCGGCGACATTTAGTAGAATATTTCCTTTCACAAGACTGACTTTTGCTAATTTTGTTTTTATTGTTTTTAGTTTAACTTCTGTGTCTTAAACTATGAAATGAAATTAGATCAATTTAATTTAGCTTATATAGAATTGTTTAGGTATTCAAAAATTAAGTTAAATTTTTAAAAATTGAGTGTATATATAGTCACTATCCAAATTTTCAATTTATATCTCCCAAAACATTAAAAATATTAATTTTTTATGTGAGGAACTATCTACAATCAATTATTTTTAAAACCGGTACTCTTCATATATTATGGCGGACTGCGCATTTGCAGGGCCTGTCTCCGACCTTCGTATTGTAGCAATTCTTGCGTACGCATTGAGTATTTAACGCAAACCACAAACATAGTACTAAAATTACTTAAGTCCCCCAATATGCTCCATTATTGTTAGGTTTTTCTTTTTAAAGAACAACACAATAGTAGTTTATGCAATACGAGTGCATATGATGATCATACCATACGAAGACGGACAATTCAGTCAAGTTGTACAGTATATTTTATCTACGATTCACTAATGAAAGTCTACAAATTTTTAAAATGAATTTAGTCCAATAAGATAAAATAAACAATTTATGATTTTTACTAATTTATAAAATAAAAGTAAATAAAAAAGATTTTATTTTATTTAACCTTCCTCAAGTCAGTAGGTACGTTAGTCTGAGCACTATCGACACACCTATTTTTTATTTTTAATACTCTCAATAAAATTGATTTTTATATTTTTTATTAAAATTTATAATTTTTCTTTTGTAATTACAGACGAATATCTTGTGAAATGCTATTATTTATCGATTCTTCACAAGAATCACTCTTTTTTTAATTATATTTATTCTCAATAACTAAAATATAAATTGACAATTATTAGTTTGACAGAATTGTCACTTATTTAAAAATTTAAAAAAATAATAGTAATTTAGTGACCAGATATGGATTGTGATTGGTGGATTTCATATTCATGTAGTGTTCTTAGTAGGTAGAATGGATATAAAATGTATTCTTTCAGTTGAACGCAATGACCTACTTTGTCCTTTTTTATTGTCTGTGCGTAGAATAGCTAATATCCATGTGGGTGTAGAAAATAGCTATTTGTGTATTAAGAGCGAAAAGTGTGGGTGAAGAAAATATCTATTTGTGTATTAAGAACGAAAAGTGATACTGTGCCGCATGAGACAGAAAGTTGGCCGCGCATACAATATTTTTTCTACGATCACATTATTTTAAGAAATAGATATAAAAACTGAAAATTTGTCATAAGTAGTGTATAATGTGTTGCCTATATCTAAGTTAATCATGAAAAACGGAGTTGATATTCAAAGTCAACGTTAACTTGGATAATAAAACAAAAAATCATCAAACGTGCGTACAAAAAATTTAAAAATCATTTATTAAAAAGAAATATTACATTATATTTAATTTAAATTAGGCGAGCAACAAAGCTGTCAAGTTTTCAGCTCGGTGAGCGACAAGGCTGTCACTTAATGTCAGATCGCGGAAAACGCCAACTTTGCGATTGTATTTCGAAGCGCAAAAACCTATTTTGGATAGTGATCGTAGAAAAAAATTTAATTATAATAGGTAAATAGTAAATATATTTTTCTAATTTGGAACTAAGATTTCATACAAAACCTTTTACTCCAATGTAAGTACCTATATTGTATATTATAGAAATGCGTTACAGATTTAAAATTATTTTGCTATAAATGCTAATTTTCAAACAAAGAAATTCTAAGCATTTTATCCGTTTTATTTAGTATATAAGTACCTAATATTTTATGAAGCCTTACTATCCATAATTATAGTTCGTAGTAATGATAATTTCGAGATAGTAAATTGTATGTAAATAAAATATCTATATTTAACACTTTCAATGTTATGTTTTCCAGGATATTTACTGAGAATCTCGTCTTGGATGGTCTACGTATTACTTACTTCTATAAAAATTTGCAAGGTTTTGCGATGGTAGCAACAATCAGTGGCAATTTTTTAAATTTTAATTTATCCATAACTCCCTTATTTCGCGAGAAAAAATTCACCAGTTTTTTAATCGGTTTTAAATGTTACCATGGTGACGCATGTTTTTTAGAATTTTTATTTGTACCGTAGTTAAAAAAAATTAAAATTTGATTTTTTTTTCCAAAAATGTAAAAAACAGGCTCCACTTGTATAAAAATTACTGAAAACGAAAAATTTTTTTAAATAAATATGATCGGTATGGTCAAAAATAGAAATAATTGAGATATGCGGGGCTCTTAAATTAATATAAATTAGCGTAGCGACTAT